GTTTAGAGTTCAGGTTTTAGGGTTTTGGTGTAGAGTTTAGGGCTTAGGGTTTAGAGTGTAGGGTTTAGGGTTCATGACAATCTTCATGTCCTCTGATGATTAACGAACTCCTCTCCCTGAATATGGATTAACATGAGACTCCTTGGTACGAAGGCCCTTAAGGAAAGAGTGACTGTCAATCAGCAGTATACATTGCCCGAGCTGTGAGACCATGCTCAAATCCAGGCAAGCGTCCAAACCAAGTACTGAAAATGCATCGTGCGCAGGCAGGCGATGCCAACGAAGTTGCCTTAGTTAGCATCAGGTCAGCTGAAGTTTGCGTGGTCTGAGCCTTATTCGCTTCGTACAATAGGGGCCTTAATATTTAGAATAGGATTTTCGGGCCCACTATACTATAAATATAATAAGGACCCCCCTAAGACAATATAGATAACTATTTAGGCCCCTATGTTAGCAGGCAAAGGGCCTGGTCACCCAAAACTCTTTGAAACTAAACACAAACCCTTCATGCAGGCAGCCTATACAGAAAGCACTTGAAGACCTGTATACACCCTACAACTCTGAAGTTGATAAAACCGACGCAACGCTAGATGTTAAACCTACTAGAACCCTTACGCTATGTTATACAGACACCCCTCTGGAGGTGAAAAGCAGCCCGGGCACAGGTGAACCACATGGTCACGACACTTTGGTCGCTCAAGGGCACTGCAGCGCGCCATTTTCGAATGGTCCTGCTAGAGCAAGGGTTTAGTGTTTAAGGCCCCTAAACCCTAAACTCCCTAAAACCCTAAACCCTAAACCCCATACCGCTAAGCCCTCAACCCTAAACCCTACGCCTTCAAACCTAAACCCCTAGGGGTTTCCGGAGTTTTAGTGACCCTTGCCCTGCAGTGTAAGACCTTTCTTGGGACACCTTACTTTCACATCGCAGGACCAGCTAAACTAATGTAGGGGCCTTCATAATTGAAATAAGGCTCCTTTGAAGGGATCCTGAAAGGGTTCTATAAGGGCTACTATAAGGGTTTAGGGTTTAGGGGCCTTCATAATTAGAGCAGGATATTATACTACAATTATAATAAGGAAACCCCAAAATAGTATAGGTAACTATTAAAGCCCCTGAATTACGCTAACCCGGGGATGGGAGGAGCTATGGTGGAGACTACAGGTAGTATTTGAATACCACCTACGGCTGCCATGGTCCTCCCATTTTGGGGGTAGTATGTAAACATAGGAGCTTGAAAACTTAGTCAACTACAAAAAAGGGTTTAGGGTTTAGGGTTTAGGGTTTAGGGTTTAGGGTTTAGGGTTAAAAAATTAAACCAGTCAAGTTTTGTGCACGTTTGTCGGCCCTGTTCGGGGCGCCGGGTGTTCGTGAGGTATTGCGACGTGAGGGGCCTTAGCCTTAAGAATAGGTTTTGCGGGTCGAAGTATTTGCATGTAATGTAAAATACCTGGAATTCTGGAACCCTAGTACCATGCAGCAAACCTGCCGAAATCCTTGCAAAATCCAATTCCAGGAAGCCTAAACCCTAAACCCTAAACCCTTAACCCCCAGCCCTCAGCCCAAGACCCTCCCAACCTGGGGGCCTTAATGATTAGAAAAGGGATTTGAGGGCTCCTTATTACAATAATGGTATGATATACCCCCAAACCCTACCCCTATATTAAACAAGGCCTGCAGACTCTGAAGCCCAAAACTCCCTCGAAGCCTAAACCCTCGTTAGGACCCTCCTCCCCGAACCCTTCGTTTAGGGTTTCGGGTTTTAGGGACCCGAATGTAGTAAACCCCTGTCCTGCTCATGAACCCACCATCAATCCACTGAACCTGTCAGGTGGGCAGTTCGCGGCTGTTCTAGCTTCATTTTATGGTGCTTGGGAGTTCGGTTTAGCGGTTGACCTGCTTGAAAACCCACAAAGCAAAGGGTTATGACCACGTATGTTGGATCGACAGGTATGCGATGTCCTAGTATGGTACTCAATTTAGAGCTTCATGTTGCTATGGTCCGTGGGATGGGTGCTTAGGGTGTAATCCCTAAACTCTAAACCCCAAACCATAGTCCCTAAACCCCTAAACTCTAAACACAATCGAGGAAAGGCAGGCCGTAGGGTTTCGGGGTTCCCGTTTTGCACAGGTTCCTTGAAGGATACCATTAAGGCCTGCTTTTCGGGGTACTATAAGGGATCTGAAAAATTAAAAGCTTAGAGTTTAGGGTTTAGGGTTTTGGGTTTCAGGGTTTAGGGTTTCAGGGTTTAGGTTTGAGGGTTTCAGAAGTTCTTGCATTTGAATTTGAGTTTGAGGCTCGGGGTGTTGAAAACCTAACGCAGACCCGATCCATAACACTCTGCTCCAACAAGGTAGGGTTTAGGGTTTAGGGTTTAGGTTTGACTCTATAGCGCTCCTGAGTTTCGAAGCCTTTAGCCCCTCAAAAGACAGGGGCTCGCCTATCAGGCACCTCATACTGTTGATGATAGAAACCTTGCACTACCTAACCGGACCCCCAACTATGGGAATTATGGTATATACCCCTTGTTATATGTCATCAACCTGATGGAGCCTTGCAAACATGATTCGATTCCTTTGGGGTATGTGAAACTCGAGTTATAAACCTAAACCCTAAACCCTAAACCCTCAACCCTAAACCCTGAGGAACACTGCTGGCAATCTTCTCCAAGGGAACTTTGATTAAGCTTTACGGTAGATGATATAAACCCTGCATTACCCATAAGAAGGAATATACCATGATTCCCGTAGTTTAGGGCCTCTCAGGTATGCAGGATTCATATCATCAACAGTAGGATTACATTAGGGAGGGTCTAGGGCTCTGGCTTCGGGGCTTTCAGGAAGCCTCAACCCTTAGACTACTTAGACCTACCTGGACCCCACAGAACCTACCTTATCAAGGACTTATGTGGGGGCTTCCGAGAATAGGGGACCCTAATAAAGTACCCCAAATAGTAGGATCCTTATTATAAGAACCCCAAAAGAAGGTACCCCTTATTTTCGGAAACTCCCATATTAGGAACTCATACATGAGAACGCGAAAAGCGAAGGTTTTATGGTCCACCCGAGGAGTCCCAAGTACCGTATGGTCTGTGAGAGAAGGTCTCTAGCCCTGGAATCCTAAATTTTAAGCGAAAGAACGGAACCCCGAATAGCTTCATACTCATAATTACACATCCGAAATGCTATTGGCTTGTATTTCTACTAATTCCACCATCCCAATCCCAAACACCTGATTGTGAGCACCTTGGACAAGGTAGTAAGCCTAATTCGTTAGCCCTACAATCCTACACCCGTCTTCAGTACGCTCTACTAAGTCTATATAGGGTTCCTTTCGGGGTCCTTTTTTGGAAGGGTAGAGCAACAAAAGCGTGCAGGGCCTGCGCAAACCAAAGCAGCAGGAGGACATGAACCTGGGGTTTTATGGGTTTCCGTGGGTGTTTTGTAACCCAAAGGGTCCTAAGTACCTATATAACAGAATTTAATATAGGGTTTCCATGTTAGGAATTACAATTATAATTTGGGAAAGTATCGCCCATAGCAGTACCTAGGACCCAAGAATAAGGCTTTACACAGGTCTCCTAGGTCTTCATGGCGCTTTACAAGCGGCTATGGAAAAGGCTTTGTGGAGCTTTGAAGGGGTTTGCAGGGTATTGCGGCTCAGGGCGGTTGGAACAAGTTGCAGGGTGCCAAGAAGCAGAAAGTGAAGGTTAGTCCTAAACCCTAAACCCTAATTTCTAAACCCTGAAGGCCCTCAACCCTAATCCCTAAACCCTAAACCTTAAATCCCTATAACCCTGAAGGCCCTAAACCCTAAACCTTAACCCGTATAACCTAAGTTAATCTAGGGAGTGCTCAAGAGGATCAGGACTTGGGTTCTTTTGGGGTCCCTAGCGAATGAAGTGTTTAAGGATGGTGTGAGGGTTTAGGGTTGAGGGTTTAGGGTTTAGGGTTTTAGGGTTCCTCTTTGTTTGGATTTCGGGTGTTGGGTTCAGTTATGCTTGGATCGAGTTACCGTTCAGGATTTCGAAACACAGTTGTTGTATGATATCTTGAACCGCCCCCAGCATGTCGGCGCATCGTCGATGTAGCAGCAAGCTGCATGAGCATGTCCTGTTTCAGCCCAGGACTACAATCAGGCAGGGACTTCTGATCGGTGCACTGCCTGAGCATCCTTGTACAGTTTAAGGCTAAGGTCTATACTTGCTTATGTAAAACTGAGGTGCACGGCTCTCGAGGTAATATAAGAGTCTTAACTTAATTAATAATGAGAATAAGGTTTGGGGATATAATTCTTCTATAATGATATGACGGAGCCCCCCCAACATAGTTTTTTGTAATTATTTGGGGGACCCTTAATTACCATGGAAGCCAGGGGCTCGGGAAACTCCGACAAACGGTTTAGGGGTTTTAGGGTTTAGGGTAAACTCATCGATAAGCCTCCTGAAACCTAAGACCTTGGCCCTACCGAAACGCTGAAACCCCTAAGCCTCCAAACCCTGAAACCTAAGAGCCCTAAACCCTGAAACCTAACCCTAAACACCTGAACCCAAAAGCCCTACACCCTGAAAGCCTAAACCCGATAAATTCCGAAACCCAGGCAGCCCTAGAACCCCAAAGCCCTAAACCCTGAAAGCCTACACCCTATAAACTCCTAAACCCAGGAACCCTAGAACCCCAAAGCCCAAAACCCTGAAAGCGTAAACCCTATAAACTCCTAAACCCCGGGAGCCCTAGAACCCCAAAGCCCTAAACCCTGAAAGCCTACACCCTAAAAACTCCTAAACCCAGGAACCCTAGAACCCCAAAGCCCAAAACCCTGAAAGCCTAAACCCTATGAACTCCTAAACCCAGGGAACCCTAGTACCCCAACGCCCTAAACCCTGAAAGCCTAAACCCTATAAACTCCTAAACCCAGGGAGCCCTAGAACCCCAAAGCCCTAAACCCTGAAAGCCTAAACCCTATAAAC